CTGCAGGAGAATCCTTTCGAGGAAAGGAGGGATAAGCAGCAGAATACTTCAAGCTGATTGGGCGAAGTGACGCTCTGTGCCCGCCTACCAAGGTTGCCATCCAGAAATGCACAAAGCGCCTCTCGCTGTTCATCTTTCAAAAAAGAAATTGTAGATTCTGCTAAAACTGACTTGATAGCCTCAGCTACGCGTCCGTCCTCCTGCGTAGCCATGTTTGTTTTGCTTCGGCCCGGCACTTCTTGCCTTCGTCAAACCCGGATATCCCGCCCTAAACCCCCAGACTGGCGCGTGATTGGCTTGAACACCTAGATGTTCTACTTGAAAAGGGTTGGCGGGAGCGGGGCAAGGTTAAGATCCTCCTGCATCCAGAGTGTAAAAAGTGAGAAACCTCGGGAAGGGCTTCAATGGGAGGGATCCGCTCCCACGTACAAGCGATAGATCCTGTATATATATATTCTATGTGCAAAGATTAGGAGAAAGAATATTTTTTTAAGCTTCTTTGTTGACATTTTGTACTTCTTCCATTAATAAATTAATTATAATATTATCATTCCTTCTTGGTATACTGTAATGATATAGTTTTATACATCAGCTACAATTCTAAAAGCTTGAAGATGTTACTTATTAGTGGGTAACACACCACATACAGAAGGCCTTTGAGTTGAGCTTGGGTCTGGGTGGGTTTCCTCCTGGTGCTCCGGTTTTTCCCCATCACCCAAAAAGCACACACCAGATGCTAGAGTCAGAGATATTTTTGTTGTTGTATTTTATTATTCATTTATCTTGTGCTGGTTAAAGATCGTGCAGGGTTTCATGCTCTACCCGCGGACCAACTTCTTCCTTTTACAAGTCGGTGAAGGTAAGGTCAGTATTCACGGTTTGACTACATAATCAGCTACACAAAAAATAGAATTGTGAGTCAGCCACAAAACCTTTTTCTGCCATGTTGCTCGAAGTCTAATGCGGCTGCCTCGAAAAACAGTATAAAAATGATATTATGAAGGTGGGAGCGTTGGATGGCCCAGAGTTATTTTGGCTGCACTTGTAAAACAAACAGGAGCGCTGGACCACAGGGCGCATGTGAAGGAAAACTGGATCATATATATACACACAGGGCAGTGAAGCAGCCGCGTCTCAACTTGTGGAGAGCGCGTCAGGTTGAGTCCAAGAGCAACAACGAGATTAGTGTGCAGAGCAGGATGTCGGACAGATGAAGCCGGAGAAACGGAGTCAAATCAAATCTATCAAACTAGTTTTTCATTCTCAAAACAGTTTGGAACAATTGCTATAGTTATATTAGTGACATGTTAGTCCCATATGAACCAGCCCGGACTCTGAGGAGCACAGGGACTGGACTCCTGCTGGGACTCTGAGGAGCACAGGGACTGGACTCCTGTTAGTGTCCAGAGTCAGGACTAAACATGGGGAGGCTGCTTTTCAGATTCATGCTGCTAAAATCTGGAACAATCTTCCTGAAGATGTGAGACAGGCCTCCTCTCTGACAATGTTTAAAACCAGGTTAAAAACAGTTCTGTTTAGCTGTGCTACAACTGAGGGATTTTATATTTTTATCTTTCGTTTTAATGTTCTGTGATTATTTATGATTTTAATGCTATCTTGTTCAGCACTTTGAGTTGCCTTGTGTATGAATTGTGCTATACAAATAAACTTGCCTTGCCTTGCCTTGCCTATAGTTTTCTCATGTATATTTTGGGTCTCTTTCACATCTTTACATCAGCTTTTTATGTCATAAAACGGGGAAAAAGGACCACCCTCACTCAGTTTTCAGCCCAAAATGTGACTCCAAGAGCTCTCTCCTTATAAGTTTGCAAAATATGAATTGATTAAGACAAATAAAGCTTTATTTGTCTGATTTGTTCACAAAATTGTACTTTAAAAAAGGTGATTTGGGCACTATATTTATTTATAAATTCATGTATTTGATAGGGACAATTGTACACAATCAACATGTGAAACACTACAACATTTATAGCCAAGGCAAGTTTATAGGTAAAAGTGCAGTTTATTAATCCCTGTGGGGCAGTTCAATCCTCTGCATTTGACCCATCCTGATGCCACTAAGGCTTACGTCAGGAGCAGTGGTCGCCGTAGTAACAGCGCCAGGGAACCCATCTCCAGATGTTGATGCTCGGCTTGGTCAGGACCAGAGCTGGAGGATTTAACTGAGTGTTAATTTGCAATGTCCGTCCCTATAGGAGGACTTTTAACACAATAAAAAACACATTTTACATTACAGTATTCACATTGTAAAAGCAGGTGTTCTCCAACTCATTGATGCTCACAAAACTGGTTTGTTTAAAAGTAAAAATCGCTTAAGTTTGTGTTTAAAAGCAGCCCACTCAGCTGAGGGTCCAGAGCTTTGCCGCCTGGACCGAGAAGATCGACTGTCCGAATAAATGCATTTACTTCAACAGTTAGATATTAAAGCCAATCAACACCACACTTTGCTCTCAGAAATCAATAAATAACACAATATTGCGTAGCGTCCATCAATCCATCGCTTCACATTCCAGGCAAAGGAATGACCTCTTTCAAATGGGACACATCTGTTTCTATGCATTTTTCACTGCCCAACTTCTGCTATTTTTCATTCATAATTGTGGACACAGCTTATTTTCTCAAAGGTAAGTGCGTCATGTAAAGATTTTTGAGTTTCTATCCTCAAAATAGTTTTTCATAGCTGTTATTTATGACTTAACAAGTGTTGTGTCTCCTTCTCCCGTCGACCGGATTCAGAAGCTCACTGCTCTTGGGTCAAATCAAGTCTATAATTGTTTAAACCAATGAGCGAATATATGTAAATAATTGCCCATATTGTTTTTTCTATTTAGCTCAACATCAGGTGATTTTTGTTGTACTTTGAGCAGTCCTGGTCTTCACTGCGGCCGTGAGACTCCGTTACAGAGCGCAGTGTGTGGGTAAACCTGTCCTATTAGTTTGAGAGTTTTCCTCTTTATACGGAGTCATTTTGTCTGCTAGATGCTTCGCTCTATAAATTCATTTTCTTGTCAAACTCTCACACTGGCTTTTATTCTGCTTTTAAGAAAATCCCCCACTTCTCGAGCAAGTAAGGTTTTCTCAATTGTTTTCTCAGTTGTATTGAGCCAAATGCTTTTCACAGCGTTAATACAGAGACGAGAAAGACTGGTGCAGCTGAACCAAAGCAGCAGTTTAAGTGCGGACAGTTTCAATACGTCTTTTCACTGTTGCTTTATGGGCAGATGTTCGAAAGTATAAAAGGAAATGTCTTTTCTCAATATCAAGTCATTGTATATAAAAGATACTGCACATATCTGACTTTATTGGATATTCAATAACAACTCTAACAAATGTATTGACTTGTGTTTTTCTGTGGTTTCGAAGAACTGCACCATACTTTACAATATTGAAGAAGTACCAGTTTAATCTCATGAACGGGGAACGCGTATTTCCCCAATAGTTTGTCTTCTTTAAATCCAAGAGCAAAAAATCTGTTGCAATTGTCAGCATGTGTTACAATGTTAATAACTGTGAAAAAGTGTATTTGCTCCAGGCTTTGGAATGTTAAAAAAAAAACAATTGTAAAGCGCTTTGTGACTCCGGTCTGTGAAAGGCGGTATATAAATAAAGATTACTTACTTACTTAAAAAACACTCATTTGAAGCTCAAATGTATCTGTTAAAAAAATAGAATATATATATATTACTAAAATAGAATTGGGAAATTTGACTTCTCTCTTTTATGAGGTCTAACTTTGTATCTGTTCCACCACAGATGCAAATTAGCAGAGTTGGAGAAGGATCCATAAAAGCCTGATCTTAAACTGTGTCCGACTGTGGCACTGCAGCTCTCAGAACAGATTCATATTGATTCTATAAAGATTAATATTATTATACGCATGTACAGCTTGTTTATCTTGTTCTGTTTTCTCCTGTGTCTGTGTGCAGCTCCAAACATGTCCCACTGTGGGACAAATGAAGCTTCTCTTATCTTATCTAGAATGGTATGTTTAATTCATCTACTGTATGTTCCTCATACCTGGCCTTTAAAGACTTAGAACACTTCAAAGAAAAAATTAAAGTTAAATCAAAGATTTACTCTAATCAAATAATAATCCGCCGCTCCAAAACTAAGATAATCGCTAATAGTGATTGGAACACGTCTGGGAAATCTGTGGTGGTATTTAGAGGACTTTACACGTTATACACCAGTGTGGGCGGGTCCCGGCTCAAAAGTGGCCAAAATGACGCTCGCTGACATGCTGCAATACCACCCCGGGCCTGTGGGGGTGGACCCGGAATAAGAATTAGCCAATGCTAACATATAGCATCTTCTTACCTCTGGAAAACGTCTTTACAGGATGGTCCAAAAGTTGTCTCTTGGTCCAAAGCTCCGTTCCACATGTGTGTCAATGCTGAGTGTTCTGGACCAGTCTAGTTTAGTCGCTGTGGACTTTAGAAGTCACTCGTTTAAATGAATGGAGCTCGTGCAGCTGACACATGCACAGATGCGTTTTTTTCACATTTTCCAGCCCCCGCGGCCATTTTGAAACTGCCCATAGACCACGGAAGTTGTGGCATATAATATTTACAGTCTATGGTTACGCCACACGGTCTACATGATTTTGCATCCACCCTCTAGTGACCATCCCTGGTACTACACCTTTCACCACGTGCTGACCTTGTTTTCCATCCGTTGTCTCTTGTTTACACAGCTAGACCGATGCCCTCCATTTGCATCCCATTTCTCCCAGACTCTGGCCTGCAGCAAAATCTCCCAAACAAGTGTTCTATTCAGTGGCGTGCTGATCCCCACGGTCCTAACAATCGGCTCCTCTGCGTGCCTTGACAGGTTGCCGGAGCGGGAGTGTAATCAAAGGAATTGTCGGTGGGAACGATTAGACAGAGATCTTGGCGGGTGCTCGACAGGTGAGCTGCTAGTCTGGTCTCAGCCTATAATCTGTGCCTGAGCGGCGGCGTTAGCTTCTCCCGCTCCAGGCCATGGCGCTGAAGCCGGCCCGCAGCAGACGCCGTAATTGGTGCAGTGACTTTGTTGAGAACATTAGAAGCGGCTCCGAGGCTCGTCTGACGGCTGTCACGTCTCAATTTGCTCAGGTGTTTTACGCAATTTCAAGCCAGATTCTCATATAACTGTAAGAGCCTGTACCTCAGAATCAGGATTATTGTTATTGCTATGGTAACTAACAGGAAGTGACTTACTGGGAAGTCTAGAGTCTGTTGAGCATTTGAAAGCAAGACATCTCTTTAGGCAGGCTTTTTGTGGCCATACTTGCATGTGAAACCAGATCCAGTCAGATCTCTGAAGCTGTGCAGGGCAGGGCCTGGGTAGTGCTGTGATGGGAGACCTCTAGGTGCCACAGTGGGGCGGCTGCAGCTGTAAAGTGCCAAACTGTCGTTGTGTCCTTAGGCAAGACATTTCACCCCCATTGCTTAGAATGAGTCTGGTGTGTGTGTGAATGGTTGGTGGGAGGGGCCACTGGCACAGACTGGTTGCCTCGCTTCTGTCAGTGTGCCCCAGGGCAGCTGTGGCTACAGTAGTAGTTTGGAGTGAAATGATAATTAAATGTGACATGTCTTTGAGTGTCCTGAAAAGTTCTGTATAAAACCAATGTATTATAATTGAATTATGTTTATGATTATTCTGTACTATTGTAATTGTATGTTAAAATTGTAAAGCTCTTTGTGATCCTGGTTTGTGAAAGACCAGGATATAAATACACTTTAATTACTTACTTACATAGTAATATCCATGGCTAAGTTTCACTAAATTTGAATCACATTTTTAGATGTAAAAAAAGACATAAAGGTATGCACAAAAATCTTCCTTAAATTCAAAATAATAACATAAAAAAATCTGCAAATGTATATGTTTGAATATTGCGGATTAATCTGAACATTTACATTGTGACACATATGATCATGTTAATGCCGTTTAAATAACACCCTTAAATATGGTTAATTCATGTATTTATTTATTCCCGTTCTTTCTCTCGTTTTTCAGACCCTCATTAAATCCATTTTGTGGTGGAGGATTTTCATAACTCCTTTTTTCTCGTATTGATTTACTAAATTGTTTTGAGGGCATTGCAGGTAATGAGAGACTTGAAATGAAAAACTTCCTCCACAGACATAGATTTTCATGTTCTGCTAAACCCACTTGAACGGTTCATCGTTTCCTTGGGCCTAGGGCCAGGACACGATGCGTCCCTGATTCTTAAAAGCTTCCGTTGTCTCACCGAGAGTCCAAGTTTCCGTAGCACTCAAACGTCCAAACTGGCCTTTTTTTAACCCAAACAGAGCATGACCGTCACTACAGAGCTGCCCACTCCACAAAGTATTCAAGAGCATAAGTTTAACAAGTTTAACATTCATTTTCTACCCTTTATTAGTCCATTTCTGGGGCAGGGGGGTGGCAATGAGAGCTGCACCCAAAGCTCAAAGCACCAGTCCCTCTGATCCTCTGCAGGGGAGGGGTCCACAGGAAGATCGCTGCTCTGTCATCGACTAGATGGCCTTGGCTTCAGGTAATGTGGGGTTAAGTGTCTTGCCCAAGGACACAACGACAATAGACATTAGTGGGAGTCAGTGGAGAAGGTCCTGAGGTGGGCTCAAACCCACAACCTTCCAGCCCAAAGGCCAATGCTCTACCAACTGAACTACTATCGGGCGGCACGGTGGCTGAGTGGATAGCACTCTCGCCTCTCAGCAAGAAGGTCCTGGGTTCGAATCCCGGTCGGACCAGGGCCTTTCTGAGTGGAGTTTGCATGTTCTCCCCGTGTCTGCGTAGGTTTCCTCCGGGTACTCCGGTTTCCCCTACCACTAAAAATATGTCCAATAGTTCTGGCATGTGCCTCCTGTACTGGCGACCCCGCTCCCATCTCTGTGTGGAGTGAGAGACAAATGCCCAAAAATTAACAATTGTAAACCGCTTTGAGACTCAGATCTGCAGTGAAAAGGCGGTATATAAATAAAAACTTACTTACTTACTTACTTACTTACTATCGCCCTGTAACAAAACTGTTGATTTTGCCAACACAGATCAGAGAATCAAACACTCAACATTTTAAAACTTACCAATGACTTTATCGATCAGTTTGATGGATGTTTTGGAAATACAGGAGACTGGAGCTCCAGGACATGTGAAACCTGTTGTGTTACCTTAAATATACAAATAAAGGTTGATTGAGTGAAGACATAGGGAGAACATGCAAACTCTGCTCGGAAATGGAACTTTCTTACTCATGGAATGCACATGTTGTCTTAGAAGTATGTATGTAAGTACTTTTTTAACATGGTTTGGCAGCAGGGTAAGGTATCTGCAATGTTGAGGGCTATCGCTAACCACTTGTTCACCACCTGTTCTTAGAATAATAATAATAATGATAATAATAATACATCGCCACAGTTCAGGACCGAGCCCCGGTGATCCAAGATGGCGTCCTATTCAAATGAACGGCTTGTGCTCAGTAGTTTATGGGACTTCACGGAGACCGAGAGATTAGCAGAACTCAGCCATATTTGGGCATCGTCTGGTCCTCCCGGTTCTGTGCAGTGGACGAGCTCCCATGATGCTTTGCGCCAAAATACGCGTGTGTGGCTCTCGTGCACGTGCACAGAGGGGCTCGGCCGCGCTCTGACCAATCAGAGCTGATCAGAGCAGCAGCAGAGCAGAGTCAGAGCGGGAAGGAAAGGAGCAGAGTTTGTGGCAGTAAAGTGTGGATTTAAAGAAAACCGAAGGATTTAAGAAGAAAAAAAGTTCAGGACGACATGGGACACTAAAATCCTCACAAAATGTGATATTTCTGAAAGCGGTAGGTTCTCTGTCAGGCTCTCTGTCAGGTTCTCTGTCAGGTTCTCTGTCAGGTTCTCTGTCAGGTTCTCTGTCAGGTTCTCTGTCAGCTGAGGTCGAGCTGTTTTAGTTTACATTGACTTCTATGGGACTTTTTTCTGGGTAGCCCGCGTGAATTTAGTCTGCAGTACCACAGCGCCCCCTGTGCCCATGGGTGGGACAGATAACCAAAGTACATCTTATCTTATCTCACACAGGAGAAATGTACATGTCACATTTGGAATGGATAGAAACACTCAAGAATTGTGCATAAAGTAAGAAATGTGCAAACATGTTAATGCAGGATATGTTATGTACAAAAATTAGAAAGAAGTGTCAATATTAGTGCAGGTTTATTTTCAGTCATAGTGCAGTGACTTAAAGTGACTTGTTGTACAGTCTGACAGCGGTGGGGATAAAGGCCCTACTCCTTCCTACACTGAGGGTGCCTCAGTCTTCCACTGAAGGAGCTCCTCAGCTCCTCTACAGTCCTGTGCAGTGGGAGGTGTTGTTCATGATGGAGGTGGCTTTGACTAGCACCTCCTGTGCCTCACCTCCTCCAGAGTCCAGGGGCCTCCTGTCCCTCACCTCCTCCAGAGTCCAGGGGCCTCCTGTCCCTCACCTCCTCCACAGAGTCCAGGGGCCTCCTGTCCCTCACCTCCTCCACAGAGTCCAGGGGGAGCCCAGAGTGGAGCTGGCCCTCCTGACCAGCTTGTTCAGTCTGCTCTTGGCTATAAGCTAGTAATACCCTATCCAGTTATTATAGATCCATGTTCAGGACACACACATTCAGACACGTTCACACAGACATACAAAACTAAAAATCTCAAAGCAATGGGTGTGTGATGAAACCTGCTCCAGAATAATAATCTTATCAATATTAATAATAACAATAACAATACATTTTTTATTTTGATTCCAGACTTCAGGCCCAAAGGTTTAATGACTCACTTTAAGAAGACACATGTTGCACTAAACTTAACATTCAACAGCTTGCTACTGTACATAGTGCACTTTTAATTTTAACTGGGTTCCAATAACATCAAACCTTTTTTTTTGGTCTAACGCCAAATTACCCATAACCACTCACTCCAGCCTGGCTTCCCTCATTCCCTTTTACAACATATCTGTGGCTCCATCAGTGTCATATGTCAGCCGGGCTTCTGTAAGTCTACTTGAGCTGTGGCTTTTTGGCTCGGGCTTCTCCATTGTGAACTTTTTTCTGGCAGAACTCTCTGCCTCCCTGGCTCTCCGTCGCCCCCCGATGCATGACCCCGTCCCGAGCTTGGCGTGCGTACCTCCCGTTGGCCTGCGCCGCCTTCAGAAAGATGCCTCTCCTCTTCCGCCTGTTAATTGCCTTCGTTGACACTTCAGCGCGGCCGTGCTAAGTCTCTGTCTCTTGTCCCACTTTAAAATTAAAAAAGTCTTGAAACACTAGCATGAGTTTTTCTTTTTGCAGTTTGAGATATAACAAAACAGTTGAGAACGACGACAGGGCAGTCTAGCGTGGAGGAGCATGTTTGGACTTCATTTAATTGAAAACACATTATATACTATTTTTCCTTGAGAATATTGACTGTTAAATTGTATGTTTTACAATTTGAATAAATGTCTTTTCTTAGTGCAGTGAAATAATAAATACATCTGTGACCCGTGATGAAGTGGAACATGTGTGAGATCGTATGAAGCCCAATAACTAAGGTCTAATGTTTCCATTTTGTTTTTCTCTCAGGGCTAAGTTGTGTTATCTCTTGTGTTTGAAATGTTGATTATTCAGTTAGGAATCAACACTGTCAGTTTTCTAGAATAGTCAAAGCATATTAAGTTTTTGTTTAGGTTTAGCACAAACGGAAGAGTTATTATTGCAGGTCCCGTGTACATTGAGAATGCCTTCAAAATAACTCAATTCTATTCCATTCATTTCTGTGAGTCTGGAGTTTACAAAAATTCCTCAGAAATTCAAAAAAGGACAATCATTGGTACTAAACCCTGGATCAATCCCCAGAGGTTTTGCTCTTTTGGTTTCCCTTGACTTACATTAAAGGATGCAGAGATTAAAAGCCCTGTAACCTTTAATATAGTGTTTTTCAACCAGTGTGCCACGGCACCTTGGTGGGCCTTGAGAGGATCTTTGGTGTGCCTTTGGAAATGATCCAATTATAACTGGTCAAAATATTGTGAAAGAAAGAGAGGATTAGAAAGACTTTTTACCCTTGTTGAGGATGATGCTTCAGTTTCAGCTGGTGGTGTGCCATGGCTCAAAAAGGTTGGGGAACTCTGCTTTAGTAGCACAGTCACCATTTTGACCATAAAGATTCTGGTGTTCTTTAATAATGTCTCCCTACAATCATCAGACCATCAACTGACCATTAGCTTTCGTCTGTTTCCAAAATTGGCTTTAGCTTGTGCGCGGCGATGAACCAGCGCGGCTCCTGATTGGCTTTGTGTTGCTACCTGCATCATTTGGCTCCAGATTCCGGCTCATTTAGCCTGTTAGCTAGCTCTCATCAGCTTCTTCCACATGAGATAAACAATATGGGTGATGTCTGCACTCTGTCAGTCCTCTCTGCCAATGTTTGTGATGGATAGAAAAAAAACCAGAGAGAAACGTCGCCATCTAGTGGTAGAAAAGGGAAATTATATTCTGCTCTTTTTGTACTAATTTTGAGGCAATACTTTGTTTTACACGGCAGAAAATATTGTGCAGGGGACAGGATTTCTCATAGCGAAAAGGGCACAAGCTCTGGTGTGTACTCTCTGCTGTAGTCTTGCATAGTTTTTCCAATGTGGTTTTACTGCAAATGGCGAAACAAATCTTGAATTTTGAATCATGAAGGAGGGAGATATTTGTTCTTGTTTGGTTGAAGACAAAAAGCGATTTTTTTCACTATATTCAAATTCCATTCCATTTTCTTTCACTTTATCCGTTGCCGGGTCACAGAATCAGCAGTCAAAACAGAGATGCCCTGACTTCCATATCTACAGCCTGTCCTTGGTCTCTCTCAGGGCCTCCTCCTGGTGGGACATCCCGGGGACATCACTCCGGAGCCACCTCCACTGACTCCAAACTCCTGCTGTGGAAAAACAGGGAAAAACCTGCTGTTTCCAGTTTCCAGCTCTTGACCTCACACTGCATTAAAACTTCAGACGGTCACAGCAGCACATACGTATATCCTTTTACCTTGTGTGTAATATTTAACAGTGCGTTTGGAAAAAGCTTTTGACCTGGTTTTTCAGAGACCGTCTGGACACATCTGTCTCTGTGACAGTCAGATGTGTGTTTTAATATTCAGACTTTGTGTTGACCTAATTTGTATGTGTGCATTCGGTCGAGTCTCTTTGAGTCACTTTTTCTCTGTTCATATTTTAAAATAGAGAAACAGAAAACGTCTCTAGTCTCAAATATACTGTAGGCCTCGTACAAATGCGCAGGGCACCCCCAGTTTAGATGGATACAGTAGATACATAGATACTTTATTGATCCCCGTTGGAGAAATTCAGGTGTCCAGTAGCAGCAAAAAATAAAAATTCATCCTTCCAAAAGATAACAATAGTAATAATCAGCAACATCCCTACAGGTCACAGCAGCAGAGGTGGAGTAGCTTCTGGGTGGAGCAGGACGGGTCACAGCAGCAGAGGTGGAGTAGCCTCTGGGTGGAGCAGGACGGGTCACAGCAGCAGAGGTGGAGTAGCCTCTGGGTGGAGCAGGACAGGTCACAGCAGCAGAGGTGGAGTAGCCTCTGGGTGGAGCAGGACGGGTCACAGCAGCAGAGGTGGAGTAGCCTCTGGGTGGAGCAGGACAGGTCACAGCAGCAGAGGTGGAGTAGCCTCTGGGTGGAGCAGGACAGGTCACAGCAGCAGAGGTGGAGTAGCCTCTGGGTGGAGCAGGACGGGTCACAGCAGCAGAGGTGGAGTAGCCTCTGGGTGGAGCAGGACGGGTCACAGCAGCAGAGGTGGAGTAGCCTCTGGGTGGAGCAGGACAGAGGCTCCACCCAGTAGCCTCTGGGTGGAGCAGGACGGGTCACAGCAGCAGAGGTGGAGTAGCCTCTGGGTGGAGCAGGACGGGTCACAGCAGCAGAGGTGGAGTAGCCTCTGGGTGGAGCAGGACGTGTCACAGCAGCAGAGGTGGAGTAGCCTCTGGGTGGAGCAGGACGGGTCACAGCAGCAGAGGTGGAGTAGCCTCTGGGTGGAGCAGGACGGGTCACAGCAGCAGAGGTGGAGTAGCCTCTGGGTGGAGCAGGACAGGTCACAGTAGCAGAGGTGGAGTAGCCTCTGGGTGGAGCAGGACGGGTCACAGCAGCAGAGGTGGAGTAGCCTCTGGGTGGAGCAGGACGGGTCACAGCAGCAGAGGTGGAGTAGCCTCTGGGTGGAGCAGGACGGGTCACAGCAGCAGAGGTGGAGTAGCCTCTGGGTGGAGCAGGACGGGTCACAGCAGCAGAGGTGGAGTAGCCTCTGGGTGGAGCAGGACAGGTCACAGCAGCAGAGGTGGAGTAGCCTCTGGGTGGAGCAGGACGGGTCACAGCAGCAGAGGTGGAGTAGCCTCTGGGTGGAGCAGGACAGGTCACAGCAGCAGAGGTGGAGTAGCCTCTGGGTGGAGCAGGACAGGTCACAGCAGCAGAGGTGGAGTAGCCTCTGGGTGGAGCAGGACGGGTCACAGCAGCAGAGGTGGAGTAGCCTCTGGGTGGAGCAGGACGGGTCAAAAGGTGGAGTAGCCGCTTGGTTCGGATCATTTTCTCTGCTCTGGTCCAAAGTAAAATGCTAAATGCTTCATTAGCATTTTTTTAAAAGTTAGCATTCCTCCAGTGGATTTTCACCTGATCCACTTGGTTCGGACCATGAATCCTCTCTGCTCTGGTCTGGACCAGTGTAAAACCATGAATCCTCTCTGCTCTGGTCTGGACCAGTGTAAAACCATGAATCCTCTCTGCTCTGGTCTGGACCAGTGTAAAACCATGAACCCTCTCTGCTCTGGTCTGGACCAGTGTAAAACCATGAATCCTCTCTGCTCTGGTCTGGACCAGTGTAAAACCATGAATCCTCTCTGCTCTGGTCTGGACCAGTGTAAAACCATGAACCCTCTCTGCTCTGGTCTGGACCAGTGTAAAACCATGAATCCTCTCTGCTCTGGTCTGGACCAGTGTAAAACCATGAATCCTCTCTGCTCTGGTCTGGACCAGTGTAAAACCATGAACACTGAACTGCAGCAACATCTCAGGCAGAAAAAAGCAATACAAATAAAAATTGTTAAGCACAAAACAACAACTGTTTCAGAGACACTTAGGACTTGCAGCCGTTTCTCTGCATCTTTCAACAACAAAAAAATCAGAATCAGATCAGAATCCTTTTTATTGCCACGTAAGTAACAAAGAAAAGTTACCAATTGTTTTGGCAGAGAGCGTGCCACTTTGCCATTTGCGGCGCTGTGTGCAAGAAACAGCAGAGAAACATAATAATTATTATTATTTTGTTGTATCAAATTGTCAATTAAAATGATAAAATTATCAATTAAATTTATCAAAGTATAATTGTAGATATATAACTGGATAGTAAATTCCCTTTAGTCAAAAGCAGGCACATTGTTTTGAAAGACGATTCAAAAGAGTAAGTTTAACAATCGTCCTCAGTCGTGACGACACGTCTCGCTTCAGTCTCTTTAACCTTTGTAATAAATGAAACTGCCGATCATGTCTCCCCAGAGACACTTTAAACTTTATTTCACTTTGAGAAAGGGAATTGAATAACAGAGTATACAATGAACAAAATCATCTCTGTCCGCGGGAACTTGGCAAAAGATAAAGTTTGTTTAAAGTTACAAAGCTACGTATTAGGGCAATATCAGTCACGTGGTCAATACAGGCAGGTGCAGTTAGTGATGTTGTTAGCTTAGCCGTAGCACCAACTCGAAACCACTCCCCCCCCTCTCCACCAAACCACTCCCCCCCTCCCCTCCACCAAACCACCCCCCCCCCTCCTCTCCACCAAACCACTCCCCCCCCCCCCCCCTCTCCACCAAACCACTCCCCCCTCCCCTCCACCAAACCACTCCCCCCCCCCTCTCCCTCTCCACCAAACCACCCCCCCCCCCCTCTCCACCAAACCACTCCCCCCCCCCTCCACCAAACCACTCCCCCCCCCTCCACCAAACCACCCCCCCCCCCCTCCACCAAACCACCCCCCCCCCTCCACCAAACCACTCCCCCCCCTCCACCAAACCACCCCCCCCTCCCCTCCACCAAACCATCCCCCCCCCCCTCTCCACCAAACCACCCCCCCCCCCCTCCACCAAACCACTCCCCCCCCCTCCACCAAACCACCCCCCCCCTCCCCTCCACCAAACCATTCCCCCCCCCCCTCCACCAAACCACTCCCCCCCCCCTCCACCAAACCACCCCCCCCCTCCCCTCCACCAAACCACTCCCCCCCCCCCCTCCCTCTCCACCAAACCACCCCCCCTCCCCTCCCTCTCCACCAAACCACTCCCCCCTCCCCTCCCTCTCCAGCAAACCACTCCCCCTCCCCTCCACCAAACCACTCCCCCCTCCCCTCCCTCTCCAGCAAACCACTCCCCCTCCCCTCCCTCTCCAGCAAACCACTCCCCCCTCCCTCTCCACCAAACCACTCCCCCCCTCCCTCTCTGTGGTAAGCCACACCCTAAACCTGATACTAACTCATAAACAATCTAAGGTCTGATGTAGAAGGGAGCAGGTCTAACGACCCTGCTGAGGCTAACGACCCTAACTCATTAGCATGTCACAGACCTTGTCCCAAGTTAGGGCGTTGTTTTTAGGATGTCGTCATAGATGCGATGCAAAACAAATCTTAACCCTCCTCCTCTGTTAAGAGAAGGTTTTTGTTTCCTCACAAAAATGGCTTCTTTTCACTCCTCTCTCAAACCAATTCTTCTCCCGAGCCAGAATTTTAACCTCTGTGTCATCCACCGTGTGGTTGGAGGCCTTGAGGTGGAGATGAACAGCCGACTGTGGCCCAACATCGTAGAGAAAACTCTAGTGGGCCACAGTCGGCTGTTCATCTCCACCTCAAGGCCTCCAACCACACGGTGGATGACACAGAGGTTAAAATTCTGGCTCGGGAGAAGAATTGGTTTGTGAGGAAACAAAAACCTTCTCTTAACAGAGGAGGAGGGTTAAGATTTGTTTTGCCTCGCATCTATGACGACATCCTAAAAACAACGCCCTAACTTGGGACAGGGTCAGTGATAGGGGTGTGACGTTCTCCCGCGATTCGATTATCGATATGCATTTACCAAGTATCGATATCAATTTGAAAAAAAATAAAAAAAATTGAATTTTATTGATTTTTTTATTTTTTTACAATTTTGTTTTAAAATTGCTATCAATACTTAATATATGGCTACATTACGCATCTCCATTCTATTTATCATGAAATAAAGAGTATTTTTTCTTTTATTTATGCCATAAATTGGCATATTGTATATTTCTGCCAATATATCAATAATCGTCATATCGTGATAACATCGTTATCGTGATATCGTTATCGTGATATTATCGTTATCGTGAGCTTTGTATCGTATCGTGAGGTACCCTTAGGTTCCCACCCCTAGTCAGTGACATGCTAATGAGTTAGGGTCGTTAGCCTCAGCAGGGTCGTTAGACCTGCTCCCTTCTACATCAGACCTTAGATTGTTTATGAGTTAGTATCAGGATTAGGGTGTGGCTAACCGCACCCATAGGTTATAAATCTCCAACGCGCGGTCCGAGAATTCATTCCCTGAAGAAGTCCTTAGGTTTGAGGACGAAACGTCGGGAAAACTTGCTAAGAAGTACAGATGATGGGTGAGAAACCTTCCTTTGCTTTGACTAATCCCTGTACGACTGAGAGCTTACACAAACGTACATAGTAACAGTTTTTTTGTTTGAAAGTTACGTACCCAAGCTTTAATAGTTAGAGATCTTATCATGTCGTTTTAGGTTGCATTAGTCGTGATGTTAGTGCTACAGCAGCAGAGCGCCCTTTCAGAATTCTAAATACAGTCTATATGTATGATAGCAGCTGGTTGCAGATTAGCCTTATATAGAACCAGCCTCCGCAGACTTCATTTAGAGCAGTCTGAGCGGTCAGTAAGTAGTTATCTTTATTTATATAGCGCCCCCTGTAGACCAGAGTCATAACACGCCTAAAAATTGTGCGCATTTGTCTCTCATTCCACAGGGGAGCGAGAGACAAATGATATTGGAAACCGGAGCACCCGGAGGAAACCGAAGCAGACATGGAGAGAACTTGCAAACTCCACACAGGAAGGCCTGGAGGTGGAATCGAACCCAGGGCCAGTGTCTTCAGTGGGAACACGTGTTGTTAGCACCACAGCCTTAGCCTGGCCTTAGCCATCAGTAAACTCTGGTCAATTATTAATTTCCTACATGTACTACTGTGTCTGATCCATAGACTGTAAATATTAATGGAGGTAGTCACGCCGTCCTAACTAATGGGCCAAAAAATGTGCTCTATTTTCTTGTGGTCCTGCCCACAAGAAAATTGTGAAAAACGTATCCGCGCATGCGTCAGCTGCACAAGACCCGTTCATTTAAACGAGAGACTTCTAAAGTCCACAGCGACTAAACTAGACTGGTCCAGAACACCCCCCTCAGCATTGACACACATGTGGAACGGAGCTTTGGGCCAAGAGCCAACTTTTGGACCATCCTGTAAAGACGTTTTCCAGAGGTAAGAAGATGCTATATGTTAGCATTGGCTAATTATTCCGGGTCCACCCCCACAGGCCGGGGGTGGTATTGCAGCATGTCAGCGCACGTCATTTTGGCCACTTCTGAGCCGGGACCCGCCCCCACTGGTCTGATCCCAGTGGCTGCAGTTATCTTGATTGTATTCCATCCGACCAATCAGAGAGCGGGGGAGGCGGGTGTTGCGCCAAATTTGCTGGTTGTAGTTTGGCAATGGGGGCGACAGTAGCTCAGTTGGTAGAGCATTGGCCTTAAGGCCAGAAGGTCACCTCTGCACCTTCTCCACCGACTCCCACTGATGACTGCTGTCGTTATGTCCGTGGGCAAGACACTTAACCCCACTTTGCCCAAAGCCCCCACTGAAAGATCAAGGCTATGCTCTCACTCAGAGAGCAGCCGTCCTCCTGTGGACTCACCACCTGCAGAGGGTCAGTGAGGGGCTGGTGCTATGAGACTTGGGTGGCATCTCTGACTGCCACCCCCCTGACCCAGAAATGGATTAAAGGGAAGAAAATGGATGGATGGATGGATAGTTTGGCAATGGCAGCAGATTCAAGAGTAAAGTAATCCGTTCTGGTTCGGCTCCAAATATCAAGGAATTGAAATCAGAGCAAGAAGAATGTTTAGCAAATGTCATTGCAGGAAAATATGTTATGGCTCTACTCCCCACGGGCTCCGTTAGTGTCAAAGCAGATGGCTAGGCTAAATGCTAAATGCTAGCGACTCACTCTGGAGCATTTCATACGTCACGGCAAACTCAGATTCAATCGCTTCCGTCTGCAAAAGGAGTAAACCCCCAGCACCTGTAAACGGAGTCAATGCAGATACAGACCTTTGTACAAAATTAAATTAGTACGATGGAGTGGTAGTACCAGGCTAGCATTACCTGCTTGAATCAAAACAATAAAAAAACACCATGCCAACATAATACATTCACTTTTGTGTGTGTTTTTCTTTATCATATCTCTCTCCTGCTCTAACTCTCGCAGCCGGTTTGTTTTATAATTGTGTTGGTGAAGGAGCGCCTTGAAGTCTCAAACAGCCCGTCTCGTCTTTTCTCTGGGAAAAAAGCCTCACACTTGCTTTGAAAGGGCACCGGCGATTCCTGTTGACAATGAGAGAGAGAGAAAATAACGAGGCGGCTCTCTGCTCTCTTCAAACCAGGACAGTCTAATGGGTCGGTTCAAGAGGAGTACTTGAGCTGCACCGGTTCTGCCCGGAGGAGAGGATGCTCCAATGATCCTCTTCTCTGCGTCTATAAAACAATCAGATGATGTGAGCTGTTGGAGGAAGAGCGTACATGTTTACATACTGGGAGTGGGATCTGGAGTGACGGCAGAGATTAAAAAAACTAGTAACTGGTCGAGGGCAGTTACATTATGAAGGTATTTTAATATGTTATTTTCTGGTTCATTTTTCTGAAAACAAAATGCGTTTATTGTTTAGATTTATTGATGTTAGAATACATTACATTTACTTGTTTTCCTGAGAAATTAGATGATGTAAAACCTGCCTTGGTCACCAATTACCATCAATGCTGCTTGTTAATATTAATAACAAATAGTTTTAGGGCCACAAAAAATTGTCTTGCAGGCCGGATCTGGCCCCCGGGCCTTGACTTTGATACTCATGCTATAGGGTAATACATGGTGAAGTATTGTAGTAAAAGATACCATAATATAACCCAAAATTAGTGAACATGATCAAAACATCTATACTCACAATAAATATGCATTAATGCGATTTGGGGAGCTACCTGGGAGGAGCTACAAGCTACTGCGCGCTACAAGTTGTTTTAACCCTTTAATGGGCACTCCTTGAAGGACGCAATGTACAGATTTTTTAGTTTTTTTTTTAACCCTAAGTTAATTTCCAAATGGTTGAGATTCAGTTTGATGCTACAATGAGATAGATTCCAGTTCTTAGCTTACAGTGAATTAAAAAGTGATCCACTAAATGTTTGTGGAAACTATTAAAGATGATTCTGTCAATGCCAAATGTGTCATTTCTCCATTGTGAGATCAATAAAGTTTATCTTATCTTAAATGTCTGCGGTAACTGAATCTTGAAAGGTTTTTTCTAATTTCAACACATTTATTTGATAGTTGTTATTTCAACACACAAATGTGGAATACATTGTGTATTAAAATGGGTCAAACTTGTATCAAATTGTGTATCTACGCTAATATAACTAATCAGTAATGCCTCTGGTCACTTTCATATACTGTTTATCACACACAAACACACACACACACAAACACACGCACACAAACACACGCACACAGACACACACGCGCGCGCACACACACACTCGCACAGACACACACACACAAGCGCACGCACACACACACACCCACACACACACTCGCACACAGACACACACTCGCATTCAGACACACTTACACACACAAATACTCGCACACAGACACGCACACAGACATTCACACACTTGCAGACATTCACACACACATGCACACACTTGCAGACATTCACACACACACACACAGACGCACACAGACATTCACACACACATTCACACACTTGCAGACATTCACACACACATGCACACACAGACGCACACAGACATTCACACACACATGCACACACACACACACACACACACAGACGCACACACGCACACAGACATTCACACACACACACACAGTTGGCAGATGACAGAGAGCTGCGTGCCGTTACCCAGCATGCCTTGCCCTCAGCGCGTCACCCACCTGGTCTGGCCGTGGCTCGGGCCTCATTACTCACTCTGACAGGGTTTGGGGGGACCCAGCAGCGAGGCCCGGCATGTTGTGGGGCCGCTTTAGTTACTGCTACACACTGCTACACACCGAGGAGCGCACATACTGTAGATAAACACGCACACAAATATGGGATGGAGACACACAAAGAGACACAC